TCAGAGTTTTGGGCGGGAGGTAGAAAAATAAAACAGATAATGAGTGTATTTAGGATAAGGAATGGATTTGACATTAGAAACAATTAGAAAAATAAACTGGGTTGAGCATGTCATGAGGAGAGAGAAATCTGATTTAGTAAAAATTGTAATGTAATAAATTTAGGACGAGAGTGACTGATTTAAAATAGCTGGAATAAAAGCGAAGGAGAAGAAGATACCCTACTTACTCTTAACAACTTAACCGTTTCCACATTTTGTTTTAAGTTTAAACAGTTACATAATTGTAATTTTATTAAAACATAAACTGTTCCATGTGCGTATAATATTGTAATAATATAGTTAGATAGTTATATAAATATCATATTCATGAATATTACGTGTCAATTGATACCTAATAAATAATAATAATCATAGTAAGGTTTTCATAGATTTACATGTTATAGAGATTTTGGGTACTCACTCATTATCTCGGAGGATATTGAACCATTTAATAGGTACCTACGTAGTTACGTTAGCCTGACACCTATATTTTCAAAATCATGCATTTCAACCATGCAGTATTATTTCCATTTTTTTGGACAACTTTGTGCAACTAAAATTAAATTGTACACGACTCTCGAAAACATTAAAAATTCTATTTCATTTTATGGGTGTTGTGGTAACGTTATTCCAACACTTGATTTAACAGTTGAATTTTACCCCCTCGTAATTTTTACCTCAGGGTTAACTTTTGCATGCCCTCTCGAACATCATCGTTTTTTAGTTTTATAATAGGTGCTTTTACTCTAAAACCGAAATTCATTGAGTTCTACTCAATTCGGGTGAGCATATTTTTGCTATGTTTTTTGTTATTTGGACTGAAATAGCGGGTATCACGTCCTCTTAGTGTGGTACGTTTCTTACGGATCTCCATCTCCTACAGACCCCCATAACCCTCGTAGGAAACGTCAAATCAACCCCGGCCTGGTGGATAAGCCCTCAATCAGGCCCCGCTCAGCAACCGCATACCGATTATCAACTATTGCGACCGGTATATTGTGAAAATAACGATTTATTTTCGCTGAACTGCAAACGTAGTTCAATCGGAATTTATACAGGTTCGTTTTAAAAAAAAAATTCGCTGCTGCCTATTTTATAACAATACCGATATGATTATTATGATATTATTATAACGTGAGGATCCGTATCGTGTTATACGGTCGGCGACGCGTGCGGTGGCAATCGTCGTAATGGTACTTTTAAGGGTGCGCGGCGGTACACGCGATAGCGTTAAATTTCTCGCAATTACCTTTATGGGCGAAACTTTAAGCTCGACTGACTCGAAATTTACTGTGGATCTTATGCTGTTCGGACGGCATTTTACGGATACCGCACGCGATTATACCGCGGTAACGGTTATAAGGCAACGTTATGTACTCGTAGCGAGTTACATCGAGATATATATATATATATATACATGTATGTGTATATATATATAGAAAGAGAGAGCGAGGGAGAGTGAGGAGTGGCAGCGCAGTGGAGATGTAGATCGAGTGTAGGGCGGGAATTATGGCAGGAGAGGGCCGGCGGATGGCCACAAGCAGAAATCTGCTGTACATATAGTGATTATATAATATATTATACGGGGTAAACGTCGCCATCTCTGTCTACACATAACCCTTTTACCGCGCGATTCGCTTGTGTTTTCCGTTTCCGGTCTCCGTCTTTTATTAATAAAGTTTCTTGCCCGTTTTCGTGACGCCGCCGCGCCTCCGCGACCGGCCTCCGTTCCTCGTTAGATACGCTCGGATTATACGAAAACAGCACTACGATTCGATAGCCAACCTCGAAGGGTTTTCATTTGAACGAAGAATCGCGGCGACTTTTCGTAGGTCGACTCCAGTGGCGCCGCCGCGTCCGAAAAGTGTAAAGATAAAGAAATAATGTATAGGATAAGTCCGTATGAATAGTATGTTTTCGCGGTCCATTTTGTAAGACATAATAATATGTTTGTATAATTTATAAACATCTCGTTCTGTCGCGGTTCTCGATTTTTCTAATTTTATGCGTGTCGTTCGGTTTTTTTTTCTAATATGTCGATTAAATTGATTGCGTGCAGTTATGTTAATAAAAAAAAAAAGTCAATAATGTCGACTCCGATAAGACTAGGGGAGAAAGCTGCTCCTCAGCACCCAGCGACGCTGGATTCGTGTAAAGAGAGAATTCACTCGGCGTCGCGTCGGAAGCGTTCTCGACCGGATCGATTTTAAGGTTACACAAAACAAAATATAAATTTGAATTAGCAAATAGAATGTTGATGCAAGACAGAGATTTGTTTTCGTTCTTTTAACAGAATGTTATTTAAATCGCGTAAAGCTATCTTTCCAGGTGACAGACGTACCGTTATTAAATTACTTCTGATTTAAGTCAAAATCATTGTAATCTAAAGCTTAAATGTTTTATGTTTAATCGGGATTGGTTGTTTTAATATCAATGTGTGTATCCACGTTGTTATTCATTTATTATTTCGAACGTACAATGTTTTATCGTATTAACTGTCAGCTACAGTAAAGTTAAGGGACTTAAATACATGTTTAGTTTAAGCGTTTTTGATTATAAATATCAGCAATATATTTTAGTTTAATAAAATATGTTTTCTATCGTATTGTAATACAGGATGTCTCACAAAGATATACCCATTATATATATCCTGAGATAATAAAGATAGTCAAATTCGGGGTTTTTTTTTATTACTCACAGGGCTAAGGACTACCCATATTTAAATTTAAATTAATTTTGTATGTTTTGTTACAACACATAAAAAAATAACTTTTTAATTTATTATATGTGAACAATTTGAAGACAGCTATTTTATAGAGTTTTTTCTTCTGAAAATGTTGACGTTTCAACTTAGTATTTTCATTAAATTCGTGATTTTTAATAATTTTTTTAAAGTTCATAGAAAAATGCGTATAGTCAATTAGCTATATTAATAATAATAATACCAATATCCATTAGCGAATGCGATTCCAGTCTGCTGCATGATTATAGGTACTTTTCTCTGAAAAAATTATTGAAACTAACGAATTTAATGAAAATAAAAATTCGATATAATAAAATTATCAGGAGAAGAAATTCTATAAAATGGCTATCTTCAAAATTTTTTGTAACATAACATAACAAATGAATTGAAATATAAATACGTGTAATCCTTATCCGTGTGAGTAGGTAATATAAAAAAAAAAAAAATACAGAATTTAATTATCTTTATTATTGTAGAATATATTACGATTGGTGTCGTGGAGCAGTCTGTATATTATCATTTAAACACTGTAGTATTCTTTAAACGCAAATTTGTTAGAAAGTAAATATTTGAAAATATAATTATTAATGAATATTGGTTTACAGATTAATTTGTATTTATATTAATTAATAATTATCGTAAAAAAGGTATTGCAAAATTGTTTTTAAATTCAAATTTGCTGCTCGTGTATAATATTGTAATGTGCACGTAAAATACACGTGTGGGTGTAGGTTAAAAACTAAAAACATTATTAACAACAACAAAGAGTGAAGAGAATGCTATTCAGCGGGCAACGCTTTTTAAAAACTAATTTTATTAATGAAGATAATAGGATGAAAAGAATGTTTTTAAAATTAAAATTATCTTGATTGTTTTTTGTTTGTTTGTTTGGTAGAAAATTACTAATGAGTAAAACAAATTATAAAATTTAAATTTCACTTATACGATAATATTATAATAGTCTGAAAGCTTTTTTTTTTTCAAAATAATTAATATTATAGTCTTTATATTCAATTTGTTTATTTATTGTTTTCTTAAATAATTTCTTATCGTACAAAACTTACGAGGAAAATGGTAAATTGTTTTTAGTATGATATTATATAGAAACCCTGTATTAGCTGTGAAAGCTAGTTCATTACATTTTAGATTCTGAGCATAGCAAAGAAGCTTATTGTTTTACGTAAGAAGTGTAGTTGTTTCCTTCTCGTAATACACTTTTTCGATTGGTAAAAATTCTTAGATTTTGTCATGTCATAAATTATTCGGAACATTTACCGAATATTCTAATAATTTGTTTAAAAATGACTTTCTATGTTTTTTTTTTAACTTTTATTTGTTTAAGAAAACGCTCCTATTTGTTTAAATAGTACCTCAAAAGACAAAACATTTCTGTTCGGTTGTATTTTATGTGATACATTAATTGAAATTTTCAAAATTTCATCCCCTAGGTCCTTTTTTTAGTTATTTGTGATTGTTTTATTTACTTAGGTGACAAGGAAAGAAACATGATTTATATTACTCAGCTCAGAATCGTTTTTTGAGGATTATGATATATAGAGGGTACAAATTGTACAGCACCTTATCGAGAAGGTAGGATACTTTGCTACTTTTCCAACTATATTTTCTCTATAACAGTTGTCTACCCACGCGAGTAGTATCAATTTTTTGTTTATTTGAATTTGCATCAAACATAAAATGAAAAATCTTTTCTCTACGGTTATGTCGTGTATCGTTTAAAATTCAACATTATTTTTGAATCCTCGTTGAAATTATTGTTGAAGTCGTCCGATATCTATTTAATATAGTATATTTTATTTATGATATCACGGTTCCAACAGTTTTGAACTTATTTTGATTTTAATTCTGTGGGAAAAAAATCGATTAGGTACCTCTATGGAGTGCTTCAGTTACTTGTTTGGTTATATTATTTTTATTATTATAACGTCTGGTATCTGTATACAACATTACACATTGTCAGGGATACTACGATTATACCAGATTGCGGATTTGTTCGCAATTTCATTTTTGGATATCCGGTCCGTCATATACCTACAATATAACTGCCACGCATCCGAGGTATGTGCCTTCAATGCATTTTTTGTTGTACTAGATATTTTCTAGTGAATATCCATTGTATGACTACTCACCCTCTCTTTTAAAAAAAATCTCTACGAGTAGATAGACCAAATCTTCCACCTTAAACAATTTAGATTTTTCCCGTTTTCTCTTCCTCCCATCAGTGTGAGTATTTCCTGCATAAAGTACCTATACAATTTTGTTACAAAATGTATGGATTTAGTTTTGGAATAATAGATATAATATTTTTCTAGTGGACACACATAGCAAGAAAAATCGGACTCTACGTATTGAAGTTGACCAATGTACTTTGCTATATGTTTACGAGGCATTTGGGCACAGAAAACCTCCTTAAAAAAATAGCCAGACCTATGTAGTACCTACAATCTACATATTATATTTTCTTTGTTTGTGTATAGCTTTAGTGACTAATATAGGCTTATTTATCTGCAGAGGAGAGCTGTATTTTGAGAGTGCCTTCCCCCTCCGGTTTGGGAGTCAGGCATATTTTGGTTGTTGATCAATGGTGACTGTGGCACGGTAGGTAGTAATGTAGGTAACTTGAAACTTGATGATTGGACCTGTGCGCCGGTGGTGATACAAGGGTTCGTTTTACTTCGGTGGACGATTCCCGCGGGAGCCGTTCGAAAACGTGCCGTTGGTCCCAGAATTATAGCGGATATCCCTTTACATGGAAAAGGAGCGTTTATATATAGAAGGAAGGATATAAGAAAAAGAAAAAAAAAACCCGAATATCTTAATACGAAAATCACGTTTTTATTCGTATTGCGAGAAAAAAAAGTACTTCGTTAATAGTGTTGTAGCCTGGGTATTTTTGTGGATTGATATGTTTTTTTTTTTAAAATTGTTTTGTTAATTTAATCATATTTATTTTCCACGAATCAAGGACGGTATCACCACAACCACAGTATATAAAATAAAACATTAGGAAAACTTCGCTGATTTTATAACTTGTTTTTGCTACGATCGGTGGGTTAGATTAAATCCAACTGACCACGCCTATAGCACACTGACCGATAGTATAGTTATTTTCTACATTGTCAAAATACGAGCATTACGAAATTTCCGTAATTTATTCTATGATCGCAATATTCAAAATGTTTGTCATTGAAAACGGAAGTTTCTGTGGCTTAATTGAGAATATTTTATGAGGGGGGGCGGGGGATATCCAAATAAATTTTCATAGAAATCTCAGAAGCTTCACCCCCTCCTCCTCATTTGCTTTTAATAACACGATAATTAATCAATATAGTTATTTTATGTTACATATTATACAGAGTGATTTTTTCAAGAACCAACCATTTTCTCGGAGGATTTTTAGTAAATTTGACTAATTTTTTTAGTTAAATTTGACCATTTTGATAAGCACAACACTAATATCAGATTTACAGTTTATGAGTTATAAAAGCTTAATATTTAGATTGGAATAGTAGAGAAGGGTAATAAATTGCATGATAAATTGATATCTCTTTCCTACTCCTCTGGTTTAGACTTTTAACAGTTATAACTCATAAAGGGTATATCTAATATTATTAGTGTAATGCATACCAATATTTCTAAAAAAATATTCTTTATTCGAATCTAAGTTAAAATAGGAAGTCTATATTTGAAAAACAAAAGTGAAAATGTACTTATTCAAGGTATGTGGAATAAGGGTAGAAGTTAAAAATAGTCTTTATACTGTATTTGCACAACATATATGTCTTTGCTAATTATACTCATTTTTATATAATAATCCCTCGAATATTTAATAATAAATACGGATCTTGGGGAGATCTATCATCCATATTCCTCCCCCCGTAATTACTCCTTTGTAGAGTTTCCTTACTGTTATTAGTTGTAATATATTGTGAAATAACGATGACGACGTTTAGTGCGATATGGATTTCGGTTTTTTAGCTGAATCATTTCCAATTTAGAATAATGAACATCGCTGGTGCCTATAAAACAAAAATCTACAAACTATATTATGTTATTAACGGAATGAAGGTTCTTTCGGTTTTTTATTTTTATGTTTTTAAATAATATAAAATTCTATCAATATAGTACAACATAAATCGAACGGTACCTACATAAATTTTGGATTGATTTATTGACCCATAAAGTTTTTAAATAGATTTACCATCTATAATGTATTGATCTTATTTTATTTATTTTTCCTGCGTGCGGTTATACTTTAATACCGACAACTTTAATATTGAACAAAAAAAACCAACGAAGAAATGTATTTGCCGAATAAAAAGATTTAGGTTAGATATATATATTTGGAAAATAACTCACCGTTATAATTTTATTAAATTCTTATCAAATTCCATACGGAAGATATGCAATATTTTTAAATATGCATATTTGATTAGAAAATAATTATATTAATAATAATAATTCAATCATTAATAATTAACAATTATTCTTTAGCGTTAATTTCGAGACTCTACTATGCTATTACAAAATATTCAATAGAGATACCTATAATAGTAAGCATAGGATATTGATATATGTACCTTTTAGTTTATAATTGTATTTTTTTTTTGGTTTTATTATTGTAAACAATTTATTTAGATAGTATGTATTATATACAAAGCCATTGTTATTTTATTAACCAATTATACATTTTCATGTTGGAGAAATAATAAACATTTTTTCATTAAAAAGTAAATTTAAGTTCCTGTTTTGTATAGGAGTGTATAAGATGAAGTTAAATATTGCACTGAACATTCTGTTACCATGACAATAATTTTCGTTTAAACGTTAGTTCGTCCATTACTTATATTTTTTATTTTGTTTTTTCATTTAGTTTGTTGGTTTCATTAATGTGTAAGTATAAATTTTAAATAAAATAAACTTTCATTTAATTTTCCTCCGGGTTTAAACACTTTAATTAAACAGATTTGTTAATCAATATATTTTCATTAAACACAAAATTAAATAACATACTATATATGTTATTACGAAGTATAATATAATGGTTGAAAACTAAAACTCTGAACTGGGGTCTACTGTTACATTACAAACAACGTTTTTGCGATGAATCGGCCCGTGCGTTATTAATTATTTTAGCGTTACGTTAAATTTAATTATATTTCGTTAGTATTATACGTCTGGACAGTTATCAAATTGTAACATAACATAATGCTATACTTATACCTCACTTAAATACATATTTTTGATACTGAACACAGTGATGAAGCTATTGGATATACTATGTTTGCGTGCCATTTTTGTGTCGAGCACTAAAAATATTCAAACAATTTCGTACAAGATCTTAAAAAATAATTACATACGTTTTGGATGCAATTTATCGATTTATTTAACATGGTGAATTTGCGTTTTAGTCTTGAAATACGCATGTTTTATAATAATGATATTAATGATGCAGTTGACAAATTTTGAATATTTTTATAGCTAAATGTAGAATTTCAAGATCTGCTCAGAATCGTTTTTCGAATATCCATTGCATATTATCGTCGCTTTTAATCGTGTGTTTGAAATAATTATGATGATGGCTACACGAAAATAGTGGCACATTCGGGGTGAAAATTATGTTATCATTTTTTTTTTTTGGTACACATTTTTTTAAATGCTTAGTTTAAACGATGTGAATTGGTATACTTTACTAATCAATAGATATTCTTTTAAAAAGAAGCACAATATAATTACAAAATTTACTAAAAAGTTCGTGCGGATAATAATAAAATGCCACTATAGAAGTTTTTAAATTAAAGTTTGTTATTCAATTTAACTTCCGGCGTTTTTATATTATCACAATATTCGAATATTTTAAAAGAAAAAATGGAATACATTACAGATATATATATATATATATATATATATATATATGTATATATTTCAAAAAACTGTTTTACTTTTTGGCTTATTGTAAAATTTATAAAATAATACAATTTCCCTATGAAAATTACATTATTATAGTTATTTATATAATTTGAACTGTAGATGATATTTAAATTCAAATACCTATCTAGAAAGTCAAAGACTAAACTTTATTTGAGATTTTTACGCCCGATTATAGCTTATGGATGCAAAATGTGGTCAGTAACAAAAAGGGAGGAGGGATTATTGATTTTTGAACAGAAAGTACTTCACCGAATGTATGGTCTATTAGTTGAAAATGGGAATTTCTCAAATTTTCACGAATTCTTCCAGCTATTTCAAAAGCCCAACATTTATGCATTTATCAGAAGCAAATGAATAGGTATAGCGGACAGGACAATCAGACAGATTGTCAACAAATTAATGTTTGGTAAAATCAACAGAAGAAGATCGTCCTAGGAAAAAATGGATGGTTATTTTCAAAGCGAACCTAGGAAAATATGCGCAAGAAGGGAAACTAGACGATAACGACAATAGGAATAGATGGCAGGAAATAATTGAAGAAACAAAGGTCCTAAATTGGCTATATATGTTTCAGAATAAGAAAAAAAAGATCTCGCGATCTGTATTTCTATTTCCAAAGCTGGATGTATTATAATATATCATAATTAATTGTATATTAAATGACAGAACACCAAATATTGTTATCATTGAAAAGTTGAGAAACCATCTAATGTGTTCATTATTTAAAATATTAATTTCGTTTTGTACTTTTTTAGTTGTATAGTTTTAAATTTCGACTAGAGATAAAAAAAAAAATAAAATGTGTTGTTATATAAATGTATGAAATATGTTAGTTTTTAAAACACATTTTAAAAATTGGAAAACTTACCTTAAATCGCTTTGTATAGAAAAATTACTATTATGTTTCATAAACGCGACAATGTTAGTTTTATATTTGGAAATACAAACTAAAAGTAATGAAACATAATACAGACGTGATCAATCGTTATCGTGTCATTTACTGATAAGTGTTTATTGTAAAATCGATATCAATCGATCAATCACCGTCATTCGGTTGTCTATTATATAGATATCTACGTTTTTTATTTTATTCGGAATAAATCAACATTTATAAAATTATTTTTGACGAACTATCGATTGCATTCTATCCTATTGGCCTCACTCATGGTCTTGGGTGATTATAAAAATCTTTACGATTCATAGTATCTCTGTTATTTACAGATCATTGTATTAAATTATAATTATCAAAGTGCACACTATATGTGCATTGTTCACTACATATATACGTAAATCGTACAAGATATATTATAATATTTTTAGGACATCGACACGTGTCCAGTGAGTTTAACATTGTCGTGGATGACGATCATCTCGTATATTAGGTTTCTTCAATATAAAACGTCGTCCAGCGATTAGAAAACCGATAAACATCCAATGTTTTCCCGTATAACATAATGTGTCTATGTAAAAGCAGCAGCTACAGTTTAAAACGTTCTTAGACGTACGCCCGCGAAATCTCCGAAGCCGGGCGATACAAATCACAAGAGTAGCAATACGTCGC